GAGAGATACATCAAGTATTTCTGTAGTTTCGTTTTCCAATGTAACAATGAATATTGTTGAGGTAGAGTAGATCTGAAAAAACAAAGGAAACTCATGTAAACAAAAGCGCTCGATACAACTACTATTATTCATTTACCTTTGTATGAAATGAAGTCCCGATTAACCATTTTATTTTTACGGTTCGCCTTCGGCTCTGGTATAGCTTCGAGTTCGGATTCTGCCGTCGTGAGTCGGGAACATGGGAAGGCGACCGGTCGTTTTGAGAGTCGTGAGTACCAACCGGAATGTTCCTTCTGAAGGCAGATGCCTATTCGGGAATCTCTCCGCGTATTTCCTTCTCCCATTGGCGATATTCCTTCTCCCCATGCCCATATTCGTGTTCGACTGCGCGTACGCTTCGATCATTTGTATCATCTCGTGAATCGAGTAAATCATGATTCCTGATTCGTACAAGAACGACTTTGTGAACCCTCGCTAAGCTGACGCTGCGTTTAACTGATTTCGTTCACAGTGTTTTGTTTATGAACCTATCAAATGTCACGCGTAAGGGGAGATAGACAACAGACAACTGACTGCAACTCACGTTCATGGACCGTCCATGCCACGTTCAACCATAGTATAGTTCCAACGTAAATCGTACATTTTCGGCTGATTTGTCCAGTTTGAATCAGAGATCTGAACTGAATAAAAAATAAATATAAACCATAGATTCTCGGCTGGTAGGATTGAAATCGTAAGCAGGGGGAGAAATAAATACACAGAATTTTTATCTTGTTCGATATGCCTTCTTTATTATTATAATAGAAAAGTGAAATTCGGAAAGCTGTCAAAATTAGTTCTAGTCTACAATACACGTAACAACAGTGGTGACACGAGAACGTCGAGCGAACATATGTTTCGACACGTTATTTTCATATGCCAAACGTATGCATATTTGTCTCGGATTTTACTATTTTCGACTGCACTCCTTATGGATTTCTGTTTGATGAAAATCTTAAGATTAATTATTAGCGAATAATTTGGAATCTTGGATATGGAATCGAGTCGACGCCCTTATTGGGACTGAACATTCATCCATTCGTCACGTAGGAACATCGAATTCGAATTGACACACGAATACGTATTAAAATAATTCGGGTACTCGTTCAGGTTAAGAATGCACCAATTATACAAAAGGAAACATAAATTACGATGAGCGCACGATAACAGGCCTCTGATAGTAGCATGGATAATAGAAAGCATTATGTATATGAATCGAGATAGAATTTCTCTTATTAAACACGTGTTACGTGATAATTACGCGGTCCGTGGTATAATTAATTTTTCAAATTAACGACCGCCGCATGCGATACGATTTCAATTTATATAAACGAGTATTTTTAGATCTGTTATTAGTCGACAGGCTCGTATATTTTTTAAACGTAATAGAAATCTTTTGCGAAATAGTGGATCAGAAAAATAGGAGATATAGTAATCTTCCGTCTGTTCTGTTGGCGACATAAATTTCACGAACTCTTTTTGTTATATTATCAAGAGATCGTTTTAAATTTAGAGTGTGATTAAATTTCATCAAGAAACTAGTACGATTTGATATTCTTGCCTATAATTAACGAAATAATATGCATATAAGATGATACAGTTCGTTCGAAAGGAGATCTCGTTTGAAAATCCCCGCGTTTAGGGAGCGCGGTTCTGTCGACGAGCCGACAGGCGGCGGTAGCGGCGGGTGCGAAACGAGCGATCGAGTGTCCCGTAAAACCGCGGGCACAGATTTTCGTCCAACCACGAGAGGAGCTAGCAGCGTCGGGCCACGGCAGTACGAGGCGGCGTGGGGCTAGGGACGATGCATTGGGCTGCGACTAGGAGGCACTTCGGAGGTAGGGAGGGCATGCGAGCGGAGCACAGTTCAGTAGTCGCCATTGCAAGTCCCCCCTGTGCTCTCGTATTCGTGACACTCGGACGCGTGGAGCCGATTTTCCGCTAACCTAATCTCCCCGCGAGGGCCCAGAGTGTGCCCCCCCGATGCAGAGATATTGCACCGAGCTCACCGAAAGATTGTTGAAATCGCTCGATAAGGAATACAATGTAAGTAGCGGAATGTATCCGCGATGCGCCGTCCGTCCGTTCGCGCAAACGGCTATCGGGCCACTCTCGATCCCACCGTGCGCCGTGTGCCTGTACCAGTGGCGTGCGCGAGAGTCAACCGCGACAGTGTGAGAGTAAGCGGCGACTACCGCGTGTTAGTGGGCGACGCGTTTCCCGTCTGTACACGGGCCGCGGACCCAGTCGGTGACGGGTGTCCCCTGTCTCGCGCGAGTGTGTGCGTGCGTGTAAACGCGTCCGTCGTTCTCGTCCACTTCCACTACAGAACTCCGTAGCATAACCTCTCGTCAACGGCCGTCTCGTTTCCATCGGGATACGTACATGCCCCGGAGATCCTCCGAGAATCCGAGTCCCAATCTCTCCGTAGCTCTCGGTCCTTCGAGAAATCCAGTTCGAGATGAAAACGTCCCGGCTCGTACCTTCGTGCTCCTCGCAAAGGAAATCGAATTACCATCTTCTGTCCCCGAGCATACATATCATTTCGTTAACAAATATGTGGCCCGATCGCCGTTTAATCGTCGATAGACGCGTCCCATCGGGCAGACACTCGGACGCATCGTCAAGATTGCGAATGTATATAGACACGTGTTGATTATGTATTTGTATATTTTACGGTTCCGTAAAACGTAGATGAGATAATGATTCGCCTCTGCCTCCTACCAATTTAACCCCCTACCGATTACAAAATCAAATTCTACTGTAGCTCTTGTTGACTGATAGTAATTGAATCTTTTGTTATCGGAGATATTGGAATAAAATACGCGTTTCCAAATATTTCGTATTAATATTGAACCTACCCCTCGTCGATGAAATGACGTTTCTAAATTCTTTCGTAAGAAATTTGTCTGGTCATTTCGCGTAAGTTCTAATTATTATTTAACCTGCTGACAAACTAAAGTGCGAATGCCAATACTAAATTTAATACAAATGTAACAAATATGAATTTAGTGTACAAAAACTGTGGATTTAGTGTCGAACTCATATGGAACGAAGAAATTGAGATCATTTTCGAGTTTTATCAATTTGGTATTAACGTGTGTTACGAAGTTTAGTGAAATTGTTGTTACATTAAATTGAAGTGAACCTGAAGAAAAAACATAGTGCCAGGATTTTGATATTTTCTACAGTGCTTAGAAGATAATAAAAGAAACGTTGTTATGTATTCACGAATGATGTATATAAAAGCTTTGAAACAGTTGTAATAGAAGTACAAATTTTCATCACGTAATGTTGATAGTAGTTGACCAAATTTAACACTAAACCTTCTATTCATTTATTTAACCTACTAAATTCATTTATAAGGAATAATGAGAATGAGTTTGGTCATATTATTAGAGTTGTAATTTTTATGTAAGCTGGTGTCAAATTGAAGTACCAATGAAGTACTGAATTTCATTCAAATGTAAAAGAACTGTGGATTTAGTGTTAAATTTATGTTCTAAATTTAGAGAAATTTAGAAGCTCATTTTGGAGTTATATCAATTTATTCTTATGGAGTCAAATAGTACTTCACTATATTCAATTGTAAAGGAAGTAAAGAAGAAAATAAAGCCAGGATTTTGGAATTCTCTTCAGTAATAACTAATTGTATTAAGAACATATTTCATCAATAATAATGAGTACTTGAGAGACGATTAGAAAAGAGATATTGTTGATGTATCCAAAAGCTTAGAAACAGTTGCAGTGAAAATATAAATTCTCATCACAACGTTTCAACAATTCTCTTAACAATGTTAAAATGAGAAATAGTAGTTAAACGACTTCGACACTAAACCTACTATGTTAAATTCTTTTATAAGGAATACTAATTAAGCTAGTATTAAACTGAAGTACCAATGAAGTACTGAATTTCATTCAAATGTAAAAAATACAGAATTGTTCTAAATGTAGAATTAAGTATCTCCTTTCTGCGATGATAGGAAAAATATTTTTCCTACATTCTTAGAAACATGTAAATCATATAAAAAATATGAATGTTTTGGAAGAGTTTTTTTCTTCTCAATGTTATTTTGTTTCAAGTTTCTGATTCACATTTTTTGCTAACAAATGTGTACTTTTTTCGTTTATTATACTTGACGTATTCAAACATATTAGTGACAGTACTTTGAAATGGTCTCTGGTTATCAAAATATTAAGTTAATTTCCACCGATATTACTGAGTTTCATCAGCGAGAAGCTGCAGATGTAAGTCTAATGTTGTAACCATGAAGAGTCAATCGCTAATAGTTATAATGGTGATGTTTAAAACTCAAGAATAAATAACTTTTGCAAAGCATTCATCTTTTGATGCCATATTGCATAAGTGTTTTTCCTATCATTGAAAATGAAGGAGATATTTAGATAGATCTGTATAAATTTAGCATCTAATTGAATGAACTTCCTCGAATAAATTAGAATATTTGTTGCAAGTAATTAAAATCAATCTAGCGAGCTTTAATTTCATTATTAAATGAACGTGAAATGTCGACTAACGTTTGCGTTTTTTGTATCACGATTCTCAGGAATCTCTACTTATTAAATAACATAGTTATTAATAATTGTTAGGTCGTCGACATGGGAGCTGTTGTGGATGTCATTACGGCCCTGGAAAAGACGGCGATCACTAAGGAGGTGCTTGAGGTAAGAAATCGAATATTTCATATTCGATCCTGAACGTTGCAACATCCGTATTTAACCGTGTTGCACTGTACAATTGCATCATTCTCAATATGACTTTTAGATCACAAGACTTGGAAAGTACATCAATGAACTCCGGCGAAAAACGACGAACGACGCCCTGGCTAAGCGGGCGAAGGATCTGGTACGACGATGGCGTAACATGGTCCTGCCGTCCGCTCAGTCTACGCCGCAGCCGACACCAGCGGACACGGCACCGCCCGCCCTTAACGGGGCGAAGCCACATAGCCCAGCGTTGAGATGTTTCAAGCCACAGAGCCCGGCGTTGAAAGGCGTGGTGCCACCTCAGAGTCCCTTGCTGAGGGACACCACTGCGCTGAGAGTAAGCAGAAGATATATTCGCCGGCTGGCAGTCGAAACGCGATAATCCAGCTAAGCGTTGAGGAAAGTACTTACTCGGGCGGGCGCTGGAAACGACGATAGTTCGCCCGAGCTGCGAAAAATATACTAATCCGATTGCTGGAGAACGTAACGATAAGAGCGCTGGGAAGCGTTATAGTTCGCCGGCGCTTTTTGCTAATATTATTTTTAATTGGCAGTCTAAGACATGAAACTAAAGGATGTATAGTTTATTAGAAAATAAGTATCCTATAGGCCAGGCATGGGCAAATCATTTTTCCCCATACTAGTCGCTCTCCCCATTATTCGTAAATGTAGATACGTGCCTGTACGTTACATAGCGTTAAGCATCCCCACCATAGCCACTTTTGCCCATGCCTGCTATAGGCAATACTGTCAAAACTATTCATTAGAATTACTCGATAAACAGTCGTGAAATTTTGTTTATAAAATTCTAGAAATTTATCTTTATTTTACAGTTTTTAATATGGTATAACAAAATTGTTTATTCGACAAGAAATAAAGAACACAATAACTCCTTTTGCTACAAAATAAATATTGTTGAACAACAGAAAAATGAAAAAATAATTTTCCTGATTTTTATAACAAAACGAAAGCTAGACTTCATGTCGTTAAATCAAGATAAAAATCATGATCAATTTTTTGTCCACGAGTGATTTGACATCTTTTTTCTTATTACCCAAGTAATTTTTTATACTGTTTCAATTGCTGATGGATTTTTCGTCAAATTCGATATATGGAGTATAAGTTTCTCCTATCGAGCCTATCAGTACTTATTCCCTGATAAGCTATACGTTCTTTAGTAGACATTAAGTTTTGGACGTACTGCCAATTTAAAATCATATTAGGAAAAAACGTCCACAAACTATAACGTTTTACAGCGCAAGTTGTTGCTTTTTCTATCTCTCGAATTGTTTTGTTCTCCAGCATTCGGTCACATTACTATGTTTTTGGCTGTCGGCCGAACTGTTATTTTTTCCACTAACATTCGAGTAAGTATCATCTTCAGTGTTTAGCTAAATTATTATGTTTTGTCTCCCAGTCGATATTCACACGTTCACGACGGACTAAACCATCGACGGTAGGTTCATGTCTATCCTAAGAGATGGAAAGTTATCGCAATTGTGAAAAAAAGCGAAGCCCTCCCACAGCGAGGCCAGTAAATTCAAGCCTTGTCACGAACGTATTAAAAGAGCAATCGGCAATAATTGGTACGACGCAGGTGATAAAACACGCTTGTTGGGTTTTTCAGGTCCTCAGCCCGGTTTCATCTGTGCACAGCGATCATTCGCATTCTCCTAACGCGTCGTCGAATAAGCAGTCAATTACGGTGGGCAGCAACCACCGAACAGGTTCCGACGTTCCACCGACGCTGGGCTCATCCAGCCAACACNTGACATCTTTCTTCTTATTACCCAAGTAATTTTTTATACTGTTTCAATTGCTGATGGATTTTTCGTCAAATTCGATATATGGAGTATAAGTTTCTCCTATCGAGCCTATCAGTACTTATTCCCTGATAAGCTATACGTTCTTTAGTAGACATTAAGTTTTGGACGTACTGCCAATTTAAAATCATATTAGGAAAAAACGTCCACAAACTATAACGTTTTACAGCGCAAGTTGTTGCTTTTTCTATCTCTCGAATTGTTTTGTTCTCCAGCATTCGGTCACATTACTATGTTTTTGGCTGTCGGCCGAACTGTTATTTTTTCCACTAACATTCGAGTAAGTATCATCTTCAGTGTTTAGCTAAATTATTATGTTTTGTCTCCCAGTCGATATTCACACGTTCACGACGGACTAAACCATCGACGGTAGGTTCATGTCTATCCTAAGAGATGGAAAGTTATCGCAATTGTGAAAAAAAGCGAAGCCCTCCCACAGCGAGGCCAGTAAATTCAAGCCTTGTCACGAACGTATTAAAAGAGCAATCGGCAATAATTGGTACGACGCAGGTGATAAAACACGCTTGTTGGGTTTTTCAGGTCCTCAGCCCGGTTTCATCTGTGCACAGCGATCATTCGCATTCTCCTAACGCGTCGTCGAATAAGCAGTCAATTACGGTGGGCAGCAACCACCGAACAGGTTCCGACGTTCCACCGACGCTGGGCTCATCCAGCCAACACCACCACCACTCGACGGAAGCAGTGCCACGAACACACAGTTCAAACAAGCGTCTGCGAAAAGACGAACCGCCTAAGGAGCAACCGAGTTATCATCACCAGCATCACGATTCAGACTCAATCACCGAAAGTGAACCCTTCGTTAAGAAACAGCGTCTAAACGGCGAGAACATAAGTGGTAATTTAAATATGCAAGTGCCTAGCCCAACGATTAAAGAAAGAATCTCTGATCAGTTCGCGGAGTCTTCCACCGATCCTGACGATTCAGGACCAAAGAAACGCGGTAGAAAGAAGGGCAGCAAGTCTGCCAAGAAGCAGCCGGTGTTGGAGGATCGGGTGAAGGAGAAGCTCGCCAGCATCTCGAGGAATCCGAAGCTGAAGACGACGCAGGAGCTGTTGGCCGATCTGCGGGCGCGCGGCACCAACGCTACTAATTCGAGTGCTCTACCTAGTCAAAGCGCAGAATCGCCCAGCATGGAGGAGGTCGCGCTCAGGGGTAGCGGCGAGCAAAAGTTGAATCGCTGTTCCCAGAACAATCTTTCCTCTCACAGAAGTGGCGGTACGACCGGTGGCGAGGTCCGGGAGTCGCCGGAGAGCCGGTTGAAGCCTCCCACCGTTGAAAACAGCCACGACTTTTCATCGTCGAAGCGCGAGGAGTCCGGCGCGGTGTATAGAGAGAAGTCCGTTACGAACGTAAACGAGAAGAGTCAACCGGAACAGTGCCAGAGTCTGACCGTCGAGGAGATTCTGGCCAAGTTACCACCGATCGATCCCAGTTTGATCGATTGGAGCGAGTGTGATACGACGGAAGCCACCGAAGATCGAGACAGTGGCGAGTACCGACCCAGAGAGACCGCCCCGGAGGATATAGAAAGGTTACACGCGCAGTATATTGAGGGACTGAACGGGAACTACCAACCGAAGCTCTCCTCGTTGACCTCGGCTACCGGCGACAGGCAGCAAGAGGACGACAAGTCGGAGATCATCGGTGTAAAGAATGTGTATAATCAACCTGACCAAGAGTTTCGCGAATGGCATCAGATGCTGGCAAGGCCCAGTTACAATGGCCAGATCCTCCACATATTGCCTTATGTTATTATTGATTAGTAATTTTATTATCTTATTCTATTATTATCCTAAACAAAAAAAAGAACAACTTGTGAAGATTCCCTGCGAAAGAAGAATAGACCGGCTGCTTCAGTTGGTCCATTAAAACTGATTTCTATTGCAACTCGTGATTGCTCTTTATTTCATGCGAATGCTCACGTTTGTAATTCTACCAGCCTGTTTCACCGTATCGATCCCCCCCTCCGTCGATCGTATGTCAATGTGATCGACGTGATTTCATTTTAGACCTTGGTCTCCTCATCGTCGCCACGAAATTATCTACCATTGGTTATTATTGTTATTGTTGTTAATATTACTGCATTATTACTATCGTCATTCTCCGTCATTATTATTATTATTATTATTATTATTATAATTTTAATTATAATTATTAATCGTTATCTCTTTTACGCGGGAGCAAGAGCAAACACTAAAGAAAGCGGGGAAAGCTTCTCGATATTATAATTTAGTTGCGAATGCTCGATTTCAAAATGGTACTCTTCGAACGCTTCTCTCTTTTCCTGCGTCGACGGTATTTCTTTTTATAAATACCGGGAACTACAGAGTATCGAATACTTTTTTTGTTTAGGAGAGAACAGAGAATATAACTCCGACTCGAATCACTTCCTGTAAGTTACGCGATCTTAGTTTGTTTCTTTTCTTTTCGTACAGATTCTGTTTTATTTTTCGATTGATATGAGAAGAGACGTAAAATCAAACGGTGTCCACGGTTCTTGGCCTATGAAAAATGTTTCATTTCGAAAGTATCAAAAGATGCACGATGAAAATTAATAATAAAAGAAAAAAAAGATTACGAGTATATGTAGTAGTCGTCTTGGTTTTGCTGTAAAATATTGTTTGGGTTCGTCGTTGAGACAAATATTACTTTTAAGACATTCTCTCGCGGGATGATATTAGAAGAGGTGTGCAGAGACAATTATGGCGTTCACCGGTTATGCATCGCCATAATCTGTCTCGTACGCTTCTCCACGTATTTTGTTTACGAATTTAAAATATTTATTGAAGAAAAGTGTTGTACAGAGGAACTACCCTTCACCTGAATGTAACAACGGAGGAGATGATTTTTCGCGCGTGGTAAAAGTAGTCGAACCGAATATAACGGGGCCTTAATTAAAAGTAAACGATGAGAGGAAATGAAAAATAAGATGAAAACGATATTTGTCTAATGAGGTATTACGTTGCATACACGTATAGACGATTCTATCCAAGGAACAGGGCGCGTTTTTCTATCCGGATTTCGTTTCATCGTCGCGTGAAACGAGGTTAACGATAAATTGCCGGTAACAGTAATTATTAATTGTTCTCGAATGAGGCGCGTCGCGTGCAATGTCCAATTCCGACGGAACGTCGCGATTTACCTGTTTTTATTTACTTATTTTTGGTGAAACGATCAAGGATGGGAAAATGTAAATACTTGGTTCGGAGAAACACTGGCACCGAGACATATTAACATTTTCTTGTAATAACCAAATAATCTTATGTGTTATGTGAACAGAGAATAAGAAATGATCGGAGGAGAAAGAGGATGTACATAACTTGTGCAACTATACCGTGTATAATGAAAGCTTTGTGAAATCATTAATTGAATTAGAAAGAAGAAAACATCTGACTTAACATGTGTTCGTTTTTTGATGAAAAAAAAAAAGAAGTTACCTTCTGTTCGACTTGCGTTTGCAAAACAGAGTGAACCTCGAGAGCCTGCCGAAATCATGATGATTTTCCCTCACGAATTATTATACCGAACGGATTCGACGATTGGACGAAGAAAGAAAGCTAGTGAGACGTCTCCAAAAAAAACGAAAACAAAACTGTACATAAATTCCGATAGTTTCTCACGTTTATTGCCCGTTCAGATTAATTATGAGGACGCATTGCTTTACGAGTATAACGATAAGTATTTTGTTTATACAGACATTTGTATACCTTTGTATTTAAGAATTAAAAAGACACGAGTTAATATAATTAAAATATCACAATACACGTAGCAGTTTGAACAGTTGTTTCAGCGATTGTTTTCATTGATTTTTATTTCGTTACGCGATTATCTAGATCTAATTTATTTCGTTCGTAGCCTTAGCTCATCGATTTTTCCTAATTTTAGTTACCCTGATTAGTTTTCAGGAAGTATCTTCTGTGTCTTGTTCCCTGTGAATTGATACCGTGAAATCTGAATCCACCAACGCCAGGTATTATCAGCTGCAAGCACAACTGATGTATGCTTATCCCTGATAGCAGTTTAGTTCCCGAAGCACCTATAATAAACAGGAGTTCGATATTTCTATACAGGATGCGATTTCTTCCAAAGTAATTTAAGAGCGCTTATCTTCAATACGAACCCCCGTGCCTTTTGTACCTCCGCAACTCTCGTAACGCTCGATTGTTCGAAGAAAGTAACGACCAAATAAAAAGTGGAACGACTACGTGGTAAAACAGAATAATAACAATGGCAATTCCAGTACGAGATTTAATTTAATTTCGATTCAATTGTTGAACGACAGATGAGCCTGGACATTTGAGATCTAGATTATTTAAACAGAGTTCAGTAATAAACCAGATTACAAAATTGTCGATCAGTGATTTATTCCTGCAGTAACGAGTTTTATTTCATATTCATTATGATTTATTGTTACGACGGGTTTTGCGTTTGAATTCAAGCATGTGGGAGATGATTTCGAAATCGTTTCTTCGCGTTACGGTGCCATCTGGATGTACAAGTATTGTCAGGTGTATTAAAATTACAGACTTGGAACGTCTGCACTCGTTTAACAGCTTGGGATAATTATTTTTGACTCATTTTTTATCGTGTTAGTTTCTCTTATGGAGGTAAGACCCAAAAACAGGAAGAAAATTTATACCTCGTTTCCTTCAATGCTCAATTATTAGATTTTCTATAATTGCCTAAAGATTACTTGTAGAAATTAGTCTTATATTATTATTGTTTTACATTTTTGAAACGAACTGTAAAGAAATATTTTCAAATTGAGTTACTTTTATGGGGACAAGACCCAAAACAGTAATAAATCTATGCTTCATTTTCTTCAATGTTCGATTATCATCAGATTTTCTATAATTGTCCAAAGACTAATTGTAAAAATCAATC